ATAGGACAGCCCAAGCTCTATCAAATTGGGCTCCTGAGAGCCCACAGTCATTGCAAAAGTCAGGAGCAAACCTACGAATTTCTGATAGCAATCCCAATCTAATTTAACCCTGAACATTCAAGTTTGACTATTCCTCAAGAGAAAAATGATGCCTGCATTAGCCTGAGACAGATAACCAGAATCCTAAAATTCCAAAAACTCTCCTCCTAGAGATATAAAGACTTGCGTCAGCTGTTACTTTTGAGGGACTTTCATACAACAGTCTACTGCTGTGAAACTTCAACAATCAACAAGTATATAGATTGAATGCTTGCCTTTTTATCTTCTCACATGATCCCACCTTTACACTGATGGATTCAAGTTCCCAGAATCAGATTATAAAACACATCATTCTTGAAAAATTGAGTAAAGTATTGTCTGGACACTTGGATCCTCTTCAGATTATCTTAGGAGATATTTGCACTCAACTTAAAAATCTTGTCTAAACTTTCAGAATTCATTCCATGATTCTGGTTTGCAACTGAATTAAAGTATACATTAGAATTAAGTTCACTGAAATACCACTGTATATCAGAAGGCCACCACTTTGCTAGGCAATATAGGCAATAGAAAAGAAGCATAATTCCAATTCTCAAGGAAGAACTGTCCTGTAATAACATTAACAAATAGAAATATTATACACAATCCTGTGGAGTGGGCTTTAATTGCAATGATGTTGCGGTCATTACCAACCTCATGTTTTGGCATTCAGAAGTACTTTCCAAAAAAATGTATTACTTATACAGTTTACAGCTACCATGCTTGAAGAATTACACTAAAAAAATGAGGTCCTTGAAAGTTTAACCATCATGTTCAGAACTAGCAGTAAACCAGAGTATAATTCAGGAAAAGAGAAAGATGAATTTCTATTTACCATATCTGAAATTCTAGCCATAGTCATGGTTTGGTGGTGACATAATTAGCTTCATTCCAAGAAAGATCTTTACCTTCTCAGATTTCATTCTCCATCTCCCAGTACCTAAATCCAAAGGATAACTGACCCAGACAGAGGAGAACCATTACCCCAACAAAAATAACACAAGTCCTTGCATCATGGGCTACAAGACATAGTATTTTTATTTGAAAAAAAAATGAAGTGTTAAACTGAAACTGGAATCCAAATTTAAGAAAATTTAATGACTCCTAATTTTTCTGACTACCTGTTATTGAAGTATAGACAAACAAGAAATAATAAAATTACCATTTCAGCCTTCCAATATAAACTGTAGACGCTAGAGAGCAGTAAATACTTAGATCAGTAAACCCAATCTAATATGAATCCTTTAGAAAAATAAAATAATAAAATAAAGACTCACCTGTGGACATCAACCACAATACCTCACTATGACCCTCACTGCTATCAGATGTCACAGAAGACACATACAGGCATCCAATCACACATCAGCCTGACAGACTGTTAATCACTGTGGGCATAATCTCCATGCAGTCAACAACAATGAAAAGATGCCTTTCTCTACTTGTAGTACTTCTCTACTCTTACTTCCATAAGCTCCTTCAACTGAGAAAGTCCTGAGATAAAAATCCAGCTCACTCGGACTCAACTGCCATAAGGGTTAAAAACTCACCCACCTTGGCTCCACACCTGTGTCCTGCACAAGAAGGCCATCTTAGTCATCAAAAAGAAAAAAAAAACCCTACACAGCATCTGAGATGCTCTCAGATTCACTTCAAGCTAAGAAATCTTTATTCTGTTCTGCCTGAGGACACAAAGTTCAAACTGCCTCCTTCTTTATTTTCGTCAACCCCAAGCTGCTCAGACAGCTGTGACACAGGATCACGAAGACTTAGATCAGTACCACACTGCTCACCTGAAAGACCTCAAAGAGGGAGAGAAAAAGCCAATAAGCATGTCTAAAGTTACTGAAGTTACCCACTGGAGCCTCCACTGAGAAGAATTTCTGCTAAAGCAGATCCTGTGAGACTGATGGACACTTTGTCAACTGTGAATTCCTGTACCTGCTTGAGTGCCCTATATCACTACTGAGATTTAACCAGCCTCCCCTCACACTTGGGCCCACTGTCCTTGACATGATATTGACTGTGCTTGTACATCAAGAGGAACAATAGTGCCTATATCTGCCTGAAATGCCTGATAATCATAGCCCTGAAATTTTGAGAGATTCATTTCCATAAGTATGGACAAAGAACTCACCCCAGGACTTGGTATCAATCACCTTTTGGTGATTAAGCTCTGTCCCAAGGCAACCCCTACCTGCATCAAACAGTTCACCTCTCCTACCTGTAAATCCAGTTCAAGATCTCCAAACTTCCAATGACACCATGGTTGCCCTCCAGATATATTGCCTCAGCTTTCTGCCACTCATAGCCTGCTGATGCATCTGCCTAGACCTTAAAAAATTCCTTCTTCTGCCTTTGATTGGTTCCTGTCAGCCAGGCCTTCTTTGCAACTGACCTGAACTCAACCTGCCAGAAGTTCAAAAACTTGTTCATTTCTGATTAATGATATTTCCAAAGTGCCTACTGGAAATACACAAAAGATCTGCTTATCCAGGAGAAATTAGTTACAAAAAAAACTCCACAAACTTCATGGAGCTACTGGCTTCTATATGTTTATTCAGATTGTCAGTCCCTGGGAGAACCCAATGGCCTCTAAGGGCTGCCTCACCCCTTTGTCTCAGTGCTCTAACAGCCACTGTCCCTCTGATCAAGAAAGCTGAGAAGCACATCTTAGACTGAGACCTAAATGTCCAGATGCCACATGCTGAGCTGGGGTCAACTGCTCTAATGAATGAACCCCTGACAGATGCTGAGTACACCCCATCTATGACTGGAGGTAGCTCTGTTAGGAATAAAGTCTGACAGATTAGATATGCTGTGGTCACCTTGGACCAAACTATTTTGGCCTAACTCTCCTGCAGGGATGATCTGCCTTACAAACAGCTCTTTGGAAACCTACCACCAATGACACAAAATAATCCAATCCAGAAGCCTAAGCCCTCTCTGGGATCCAACTGACTGAAACATCAACCCCAGCCAGAAAAACTTTTACTTGGTATTCCCTGAAGATCAGAGCCATACCTGCCTCCTCCATTTGTTCTGCAAGTTCAAGTCACAGCACTGGCACCCATACCCCTCCACCCAGCTCAGACTGTGTCTGTGTCACTGAACCTTGACCTCATGTATTAGAGTGGACTAGATAGATTACAACCAAATAAAACATAAAACCACAGATAGCTTATAATCAGTTAGAAGACCAGCTATATCTATAGACATTCCTGCACACACTTATAACCCAGGTACGTATTAAATACCTCTACAGGTTTCAGAAATCCAGCCTTAGGTCCACTGAAAACTTTACCTGGACACTCCCCCAGGGAGCTGTCCACTCTAAAAAGACAATGTACTCAAAGCCTTGCTCCTGTCACTCTGGATGCTGACAGGTCAATGCATGGCTGAAGCTCGGAGGATAATGCTCCTGGGATTCCAAGTGTGACTATTCCAGCCCTTGATTCCCTTACCCCTGCTAGCTGTGGTTTTTGTTAGTTGACCTAGATTTTGCCTACCCCGGTTCTTGCTTCCCCATCCCCTGCTACCTTTGTTTTTTCACCTTAAACTGTATGGACCATTGCCATAAGAAAATAGAACAATCAATCAAATATTTGACCAAGATGTGATGAATATCCAAGGCACACTGGACACTCTGCTAGGTCAGATTAACTCCCTCACTACTTTGCCAAAGAAATGTTACAGAACAAACTAGGACTAAGTTCTAGTTGGGCCTTTCTCAGAAGATCACACATAATATGCCCAGCAAAGATTTGTGAGGAAACTAAAAGAGGGGGGAAATGTAGCAGAAAATGTACCCTCCAGCCCAACTGAAGTATATGTCAATTTTTCAGTTGCCCAGGTACCGTGACCCATGTGTCTCTTGAGGTTCTTGGGGTGAAGGATTGTGAGACGGATGAGAAAATAAAGAACAGACAAAATCTAGGGTCAGGAGGAGCCCTGACTCTCCTGATGGGAGAGAAAGAACTGCTCAACCACTGTAGCACATTTTTTCATACTCAAGAGGAGGATGTCCATTTCAACCCTGCTGCCTAGCAACTTGTTTGCCTGGCTGGCCTGGGCCCCTTGCCCAGTTAACTGTTCCTGGTCCAGTTCTATTGCTTCTGTCTCTTAGAAAGGGCTGGTCACTGTGATATATAGCTTGTCACTATATGCACATTGCATAAACCAATCCCCAATTGAAAGGCCATTCTGCCTCTGTACTTCCTGCTTGCTTATCCAGTATAAGCCCTAGACCACAGAGACCAGGGCCTGATATTCTGGGAATGATCCCCAATCAATGCCTGTCTACATAAATAAATCTGTCTCCAAATCCTGGGTGTTGTTTCAGTGTTTCTGCTTTTTTTTTTTTTAAAGTATACAACAGAACAAGTCAGAATAAAGCCAACTAAGGTTGTACAGTGAAATTGGTACAGAACTTCACAGCAGGTTACCAGGATAACAGTAATAGGTATCACAGTATATTTTGTTATCTTAAAACAGTTGTTCTTTCAATCCCGTATATCAAAATGAGATGAAATATAGGACACTATAAAACTTATCAAAACAGAATATTGAATAGAGCAGTACCATTAATCAGAAAAGAGCAAAACAGTAATAAAAATATTTGTCTTCAAAGAAATGGTAGAAGGAAGTCCCCCTTATTTGCTATGGTCAACCTCCCAGGAGGTGCTCAGATTTCTGGTTCCCATTTGCTAATGGGTGGCGGGGAGGAGGAGGAGAAGAAGAAGGATAGGGGAAGTGGGATATTTGACTCTAGGCCATGTAGCAGTAGGTTCACTATTGCTAAGCAGGGAGGCAGAATGGTCATTTGTTTTCACAGCGCCCTCAGTTCCAACATGGCATGGATCTCAGGAGACACTGCTGGTTCTCCCCCTGGAAGGGCTGCAGTCTGCCACCCTGCCTCCACTTACCAGGAGGGGAAGTGCTTGCTTGGCTTCCCAGAGTCCTAAGTTCCAACATGGCATGGATCTCAGGAGACACTGCTGGTTCTCCCCCTGGAAGGGCTGCAGTGGGCCACACTGGTTGGCAGTGTTCAGGTTCCATGATGAAGCAATCCTCTTTTCAGAGAGGGACTAAGGCATAAACAACTATACAGTGAGCAACTAGGGGACAATGTCATGGGTCTCTTGGGACTTTCTTAGTCCATTCACACTTAAAACAAAGCACCACAGACTGAGTGCTTATAAACAACAAAAAGTCATTTTTTAGCACTCTGGAGGCTAGATGTCCAGTGTTAGGGGGCCTGCATATCCCTCCAATTATTTCTTTCAGTTTTAAGAGAACATTTGCATTAGGTATACATTCCCACCTACAGAGGGCAATCGAACACAGTCAGATACTCAGTAAGAGGCTCTGCCTGGAATAGAACGCTAAGATCTATGGATAAGCTACTTGTCCACAAAACAGATAATCCTTCTGCTTGGATGATTGTAACTTTTGAGGGCCCCAGTAGACTCAGAGACTGCTCAGCGTTAGTCAGGTGAGGGGAAAGAGAGTGAATCGTGCATTTATGTTGATAAAGCAAAGTTACAAGAGTCACCTGGGGCCTTTGTTGTGCAAACTTGCTCAGCTTCTCATAAAACAGCCAGGAGTATCTCCAGGAGCATTTCTCCAGGGTATCCATGCAGAAATTTCTGCCCCTGTTCAGAGCAGAGGGATATTATGCAAACATTCACCAAGCCACGAACAAGGAGGACCCCCAAGCCATGCCTGATGTCAAGGTAAGATCATTCCCACAATATTTGCATTTCTTTCTTGGCAAAGGAAAAGGTCTATCCAGAAAGAATATGAAACCACAAGCCAACATTCCCATCCTTGCTCCCTGAACCTTATTGAAGACTTATTGAGAGTATTTTTTGGACCAACCCCAAGGAAAAAGGAGTAATTGTTGACAATTACTTGATTTGTCCAATTTTTCCAACCCAAACAGCTCCCTTTTACTATTGCTTTGCTGTTTGCTCTTTTGTTTGGTTTTGGCTTTTGGTAGAGGGTTGATCCCGGGGTCTTGCACATACCAGCGTGAGTTGTGCCACTTTTTGTTTGTGCCTTTTAAGAGATGATATTTATAAAATCTAGATGTAGATTTCATGGCTATTGATATGAATGTTTTTATCTAACACACATAACACACATATATTTCATATTATGATGAAAGAAAATTACAGATTCCTGTCTACAAAAGTAGCTACTGGAAAAATTAGATTAATTGATATAGGAACATATGAAATTAAGGAGTGAAGGGATGCTTTTTCTGAAGGCTGAGATGCCTAAGGTGAATTTCCTGAATGCTAGTGTCTACCCTAGGTAATTTTATTTCCCCAAAGAGTAATAATTTTCTTGTTCAATGTTATGCATATCTTTGCAGAAGTACAGCACAGTCTTAAATCCTCTTAACTATTAATAGAAGCAGCTCTTGAAAGGTTATGGGGGGATGGGTGTATGTTAGTATCTACCAAATAATGTACAGAGCTCAGAATTAAATGCTGCAAAATCATACCATACCAGTTCTGACTCCTGTTAACACTCGAAAACTCATCCCTATCTCATGGTGCGTATCCTGATGATAACCATTACTGAGCTGCCGGCTCTATACTTATCTAGAGCTTTCCTTTAATGGTATTTTAACCAATTGACACAGCAAATGAAAAAGTTTTTTTTAAGACATTCGGAAGCCTTTTCTGAAGAAATGTTCTGACTTTCGCTTTTGAGCTTTCAGACATATGGAAACATAAACCATGAACCTGTACCCCTGTAATTACCCAAGCACTAGTTCTTTGGAAAAACTAGGATGAAATGAATGTTATATCCAGGAGTCCTTAACTAAGTAGCACATAAAAGTAGGTATCTGAAAGATATTTTTTAAAGGCAGAATTTGGAGGCTACTGATAGACATATGGGGGCTCCTTCCAAGATTTAGCTTTTACAAATTGTGTTGCTGGAAACAGGATAATGTATCAATGCATGTATCACTGTAGTACAATGTATTTAGCTCCTTCAGGAATATATCCAGAAGAATTCAAATGTAACTTTTAGTCTTAGTTTTTGAGGAATCTCACATTGAGGTCCATAGTGGTTGTACTAGTTTACGTTTCTACCAGTCGTGTAACAGGGTTCCCTTTCCCCTGCAGCTGCTGCCATGCTTGTTATTATTTGATTTCTTTATGATGGCCATTCTTGCTAGGGTAATCTCAGGTCTGTTTTAATTTGGATTCTCTAATGGCCTGCAGTGTTGAGCATTTCTCCATTTCTTTATTGGCCATTTGTACTGTGAACTATCTATTTGTGTTCGCTTGCCCTTTTTTGATTGGGTCTTCTAATCTTTTTGAGTTCTTTATATTTTCTAGATGCAGTACTTACTTACACATAATGGAATCTCTTCTGCTGTAAAGAAAGATAAACTTAGGTCATTGTGGATGTACCTTGAGACCATAACGATAAGTGAAATAAATTAGGTGCACAAGCTAAAACATCACATAGTTTCTCTTGTACAAGAAACCCAGAGTACAGGAAATAGGGAGATAGATCATTCTTAAAGGGGAAGGGAATCAAGAGATGCAGGGAGGGAAGGGAAAGGGGATGGAAAAATGAATTAAGATATATTACGCATATGTAACAATTTCCCAAAAGGAATGTAAACATTATGTACTACACATATGTACTAGTAAACTAAAATAAGAAGAAGAATTTGGAAGCTCCTCTGAGGAAACAACAGTAATTACAAATATACACCTGTATACTTACATATGTCATAGTGTATAGTGGGTTTATATAATTTCAACCTTTGCACACTTTGGGGGATGTGTGTTAAGTGGAATCCCTGCCCACAACACCTGCCATCCACTGCACACCCAGACATTGTGCAGACCAAGCTGCCACCCTGACTGGGTTAACCCAAGGGAACAGCTTCTGGCCTGTAGGGAAGCGGGTGAGGGTACCAGGGCAGCAGAGAATGATCCAGGTGGGTTTCCATTGGCCCCTTCTCTAAATTTTGCCTTTTTATGTTGCATCTGAATATGGAAGGAAGAGACATGTCCTCTTCTAGCAAATACAAGCAGTCAACTTATTTCAGATTCAAAGAATATCATTCAGCCCTTCCTGGGTGCAAAACCGTAGGCTAGGTGCAGTGGAGAGTAAAGAGAAAGAAGGCTCTGAGCTGCCCTCCTCGCTAGACTTCCAATAATCGGGAAAGGCAAATATATTACATTACCAGCATGACTCAGGTTGGTTAGATAGGATATGATGTGATTACATTCTTCCAATCAGGGAGCCAGGAAAAAGTTTAGAAATGAAATGTGATCAACATGGGCTAAAATGACTACAGAAGGCTTAATGAAAGAAGGGACGGAATGAAACTGTGAGCAGACATGAAACAATGTCTGAAGACATGAGAGGCAGAGAAAGGGAACATGGACTAAAGTGTATTTCAATATCCAGGTGCCAGCAGCAAAACCCTCCAAAATCCTTGCACTCAGCCTCACACCTCATACAAAAATTGACCCAAAGTGGATCATGGGCTTAAATGTCCAACTATGTGTAAAGCTATAAAACTCTTAAGGAAAAGTCTTCATAACTTACAGCTGGATGAAGTATACTCAGACATCAAAAATATAGCCCATGAAAGAAAAAATTCAACAAACTGGAACCCATCATATTTTTTTAATTTTTAGAAATAAATATGTTTAAAATCTAAAACTTCTGCTCTGCCAAAGACTCTATTAAGAGGATGAAAGATAAGCTATAGATTGCAAGAATATATTTGCCAGTCCCTATCTGGTACCAAAGCCCTTGAATCCAAGATAAAAAATACTCGAGTATTCAAAAGTAGAAACAATCCAACCAGAATATGGGCAAAGTATATGAAGGACCATTTCACTGAAGATGTGTAGATATGTAGATGGCAAATAAATACACAGAAGGATATCAAAATTCATTAGCCATCACACTGACAACCACACTGAAAAATCACTATACACCTAGCAGAATGGTCAAAATGGGCGGAGGGGAATGTGTTATTAACTACCAGAAGGGTTAAAATTGTAACAAAACCAAATACTAGAAACAATGACTAGAAACCAAATCGATAATACATTACTGGTAGGATGTATGATACCATAGCCAGCCTGCTAAATAATTTACCGTTTCTTAAAACATTAAGCATGAAATTTCCATAATTGCCATTTTACAATTAGATATTTATGCCAGAGAAATGAAAACATGTTCACACAACAATGTCCACAGTGGCTTTCTGCTAAAAACTAGACACTGTTCAAAGACCACTCAAGGGATGAAAGATTAAGCAAACTATGTTACAGCCACACTGTGAAATACTAAGAAGCCACTAGAAGAAATGAACAATTGAAACAAAACAACTTGCATAGATCTCAAGGAAATGATAATAAGTTTAAAAAAAATTAGTTCATACATACCTATTATTTTTTATGTATCCTTTTTAAGAAGCATAGGAAACATTTAGGAAAGAAATGTATACATTCAAGGGTAGACTGCAGGCATTCGAAGAATGAGGCATATTATTATCTAGATCTGGAGCATTTATGTTTTTATGGAGGGAATGGAAACCCATGGATTCCATTTATTCTTAAACAATATTACAGAGGTGGAGAACAGATTAGTGGTTGCCAGGAATAGGGATGCTGATGGGAGGTGATGGGTGTAACCATCAGGTGCTGTGCTTAGAGGGAGCCTTGTGAGGCTGGAGCCGCTCAAGGACTAGGTTGTAGTAGAGGTTACACATATCCACACATGTGATAAAACATATATATATATATATATATATATATATATATATATATATAGCCATATGCGCTCACACACATAAGTGCCTGTAATACTTGTGGAATTTCAGTGAGCTCTGTAAATGTCCAATGTCAATGTCCTGGTGTTGATATTATGCTACAGTTACGCAGCCTTTGTTGGGGAAACTGAGAGAAGACTGCATAAAACAACCCTGTACATGTTTGCAACTTCCTGTAAATCTGTAATTACCTTAAAATGAAAAGTTAAAGAAACAACTCCAGAGCAGGTGAGGCTCATGTTGCTGACACACTGCTGTGGTTCTTCTGGTTTTTTCTCTTTTGAATCCCTGACCAACCTGGTTGGAGCACAGATACCATCAGACCTATTTTAGAGGTGAGCTAATGAATTTGGAAACAGTGACGGTAACACAGGTGAAGTCAGCCAAGTGGTGATGTGAATCTGGGTTTCCTGGCTGGTTGCAGTTCTATTTTGACAGCTTTGATGCGATGTGGAAAGTAAACAGTATTCTCCAGCTTACCCTAGCCTTCTTGCGATCTCTGTGCACTCTGCCCAAACTATTCCAGCGCGGGCTGCTGGTTCGCCACAAAATGAGCTGATACCCTGCACAGGTGTGCATACACTCACACTCTGTGTTCATCGGATTTTTTTCTCTCCATCAGGAGTTTTGTTTCTTTTGAAGTCAGGAAGAGGAACTGAGAGGCAGGGTATTCGGGGGGCCCACAGAGTAGTAGGCGTGGGAAAGATAAGGCGTTTCGGCCACATTGACACCAACTCAAGTCTCCATCAGACGTGTATGGATACTATGTGTTTGCATTCTTCCTCGATAATACACACACACACACACACACACACACACACACACACACACACATACATATCCAGAGCTCAGACAAGAGAGCTGATCTACGGAACCATTTTTCAGGTCACTCCAACACCAGTGTCCCTC